GTATTTGGATTAAATATTAAAATTACACAATTTATACTAAAATGTTTTAATTTGAGTACATAACTCTCCAATATTTATTCTAAGACAATAAATACTAAAATTAATGAGTATTTTTATGGAATTTCAAAAAATAATGAAAATAGAAATGAAAGGGAAAAACATTAAGTAGTTCAACTAATTTTTAAAATTAAACTATCGATACTAGAACTCTGCAATTTGAGTATGTTACTCTCCAATGCATATACTCTGATACCAAATACTAAAAATGATAAATTTTGTTAAAACATTCAAAATATTAAGAAATGCTTGAGAAGAGTACCTCAATTTTCAACATTCTAATTTTTAATTAGATTAATTAATTAAATATTTTGCAGGTTGATTAATTTTCAAAAATATACTATTTAATTTTCAATAATAATTCTTTTTGAACTAGGTAATTTGAGAATATGTTACTCTCCAATGCATATATACTATGATACCAAATACTAAAATTGATAAGTTTTATTAGAAAATTACAAAATATTAATAAATACTTGAACAAAGCACCCGCAAAAACATTGGCACTCGTGATATTTTACAGTTTAACGAATTGTTTATAATTATCATGATCATATTTCTTAATAATAACTAATCTGAAATAATAGCAAACTCTTGAACAAACTACCCCAAATACTTTGCACGCACTTTGCAATTAAATAGAGACATACTTTTATAGCTTTTAAGTTATTTTTTAACTTGCATTAGTCAACGATAAATATTAGAATTGATTATTTTATGAAATTAATTTCGGCTGGAAAAACTTTAAAATCAAAATTAATGTTTGTCTTAATAGAAATACCTCGGTGTGCGAGTTCTACTTCCACTTCACTTTAATTATAATTATTTAAATATGAGGAAAATATAAATTTAAACATAACTAATTATTATTAATGAACTTAATTTAATTAACTTAGTTTTTAGTGCACCAAATTACGACATTCAACTGTCGAACTTTCCTCAAATACTAATCTCCATATAAAATTGTACTGTTTTATCGTTAAAATCAATTCATGTCGATTTTACAGTTAGAATTTTCTAATATCGTATATGACACAATTATTAATGTTGTTCTAAACAATATATGTGTATATATTTTATACATTTTCATTTTTATTTGTTCCAATAAATGACCCATTACGCTTTTGTGCCATTTTTTACGCATGGCGTCGTTTATTTATAAAATTACAAATTATTGTAATTACAAGTCGATGACATGTAGGAAAATGAATAATTGAAATAAACAGTTAGTTATTTGGTAGTAATGTTCAATAAATTCTAAAGTAAAGGTAAAGTTTCATTTTAACTTATATGTAATTATACTGTACAAACACACGCTTGTATCAAAAAAGCTCGGCCTATTACTTTAAACTTTTATAAATGAACAGCTTTTCGTAGGCCTCTAATATTTTATCTTTATGCCAAGGTAAGTTTTATTAAAACCCAAAAATTAACTTTTAATTGCGAAGTAACGGTCTAAATGAGTTTTTGCTTCAAAATGGCTTCAGGATTTGTTGCAAAAACTTGGACAAAGAATTTAGCACTTATCTGCTAGTTTTAAAGAAACGGCTCGGCCGATCATCACACAAAACTAGGCAATATATGTCCTTATCGAATATTATCAAATTACAAATGATTAGAGAAAACGTAAGTCAAATTTCGGCACGAACACATACTTTTTTCATTTTAAGTGTCAAACGATACAGGATGACTTCAAACTTTATCAAAATATAATATTAGCAATTACTAGGATTTTTAATAGAAACAAACTTCAGGAAGTTAAAAGAATATTTTTGCTCTTTTTTTTTTTCTTAATTGTTTACTATACAAATTGAATGGAAGTGCGACAAAATGGCGTTTTTTACCAACAAAATCGAACAAATTGGTGAAGTACTAAAAAAAAATCAGTACAATTTGCTGTTTTACTCCAAAACTAAAGTTAAACTAGTGATGTATGGCATCGTGCCTTAAGTCAAATTGCTGGAACTTCCCGTACCGTAATGAAATATTCGAAAATTTTTAAACGTTTTCAAATATATTAATACAAATACTGTAATTGTTTCATTATTTTTGCTATCTTGTTATATCTGACAATGAGCAAATCAAATGTAAATCATAAATCAATTTATCTCCAGAACATTAAACAATCGTCGTTTCATTTCGAATTCAATTTTAAAAAAATAGTTGCCTTTAGTAGTAAGTAATTTACACAAAATTGAAATAGTAGCTTCGCGGCATATTCACATTTTTCAATAATTTTCACAAAATTGGAAAAATGCTCCAGTGCATAAACAGTCTAAACACACTTGGGTAAATATTTGCACCAGAGCGGCGCTTAGACGGTGCTTAGCCTGGGCATTTTTTTGAATTTTTAGTCCAAAGTTACAAAAATTTTCTATGGAAAATAAAAAAAGGTGTAATAATTTTTTATCCTCAAAAGCAATTGTTTTGTCAATACAAGCAGAAAGTTTTTTAGTTTAGTTATTCAAAGTGGACGCTTAGTTCACTCGAAAACTGCCATTTTTTGCACATTTGATGTGTATCTTCGAAATGGCTGAACCTGTCTTTGCCAAAAACTAATTAGCACATCTCCTTATCAATAGGGATCGAATGTTTTTTGAACCATTTAAATCGGTTGATCCGTGCGCCCGAAAATGTGGACGAAAAATTGTATCCATACATTCAATTTTTTCTGAGGTATGCCAAAATGTGCAGAAACCTTCAAAACGTCAAGAAATGTAAAAAATTTTAATTTCGATTTTTGGCCCATTACAATAACTAAAAAACACTCTTGATCTGCAAAAAAAATGGTTAAAATCTTGCAATGTATACTCTGCACGATTATTATTAGTGTATTTTTCCTAAATATTTGAAATGCATTAGATAGAATTTGTTCATTTCTAAAATTAGTATGAAATATTTGTTTTTTTTGCTCAAAAAATATATATATTTACAAATAAATATCTATAATAAATCAACAAATTCAATATTCAAATACATATACATTAAAGTCCATTATTAAATCAGTCCATTAAAGCTGCAAATTTATTTTGAATAGCAGGAAGTTCCGAATCAGAGCTGTCTTCATCGGCATTTTGATCTAAAATGCAACACAATAATTAATTTTTATCTAACAGATTTACAAGATCATCATATTAACCTTTGGGTATGGTTTTGGTTTCATCGATGACCTCATCGTCTTCAGAAAAGTCTTCAGAGTCAATTTCGTCATCAACTTCTTGCTGGTTCGTTCTTGCTTGAATTTTATGTATTTCTGGCAAATCTTTGTGAACTTCCCATTGCCCTGGGTAAATAGATTATGAATGTTAAATCTATTACTTGTGAAATGTAAATTCTCCTATTCTTTTACCTTTCATTTCTTCATAATGTGGTGGCTTTAACTTCAAACAAATGACACCGCTTAAACACATCTGCAACAAATTGATACCAGCTCGATGAATATCAGGTCTTGCAGCACGTGCTGTCAGGAATCCTCGTTTAATAGCCCATGCTTCACAAATGTTGTAAGGAGACCATTCCTCGTCTCCATCGGGGTGAATTAAATGCAATAATTTAGGTAAATCTAACCTAAAAAGTTGTCGCTTGACAGTTTGCTATATTCTGATATACTAAACTATTTTTCTATTATACCTTTCTGCAACAAATCTCAAAGTGCTAAACGTTTCACGCAATTGAGAAATCGGATATGACCCCATAAGCACCTGAATGTATCGTGGAACCAACGAAGGGAACACTAAACCTGGACAATCGCAAAGTCTGACAGTATCTGTCAGAAAAATTGTTTGAAAATGTTTAGTGTGCCCCGGAGTCTTTGAGACACTCACTACCTAAAACAAAATTATGCAATTACAAGTGTAAATAGGTGATATATTATTATTATTTACCTTTTTGCCCATCAATGCATTCATCAAAGATGATTTTCCAACATTCGGTTGACCGATACAGCCTATAGTTAAAATACCATTCTTGTACAGCTCATGCTCAACAAAAGCAGTGTCTTGGGTCTGTTGATTTATCACCGTTTCTATTTCTAGCTCTTCGGTGTTGCTTGAAGAATTCTTTTCTTCTTTAATTTTTTGTTCCCAACTTGATAAATCGTCAGCATCTTTAACAATTGTCTTGCAAGCTGCCAACAAGCACTCAGCACCTTCTGTCGACATTTGGGGCCTGCCTTTGAGCTTACGGGATTTCAAACCTGAACAATGATGAAGAATTTATAATATACAAATCAATATTGATTGGTTTTGGGTGTACGCACCAGTTTTTTTAGCTGAACCTCTGACAACATTATAACCCGGATAAGATGTAAACAGCAATATATGCATTTCAGGGTACTTGTCTTTGAAATGGTTGTACCATGCGCAAACTAACGAAGCAGGGACCAAATCTACTTTGTTCAGTATAAATATCATTTGCTTTTTTAGCTCCTTTGTTACATATTCATATAAATATGGAGGAAACATCAGTGACTAGAATAAAACCATATTAACATATTTAGTCCAAAGTTTATGAATGAATTCATGTGCACTTACGGGATATCTGATATCAGTAATTGTTAATATAATATCAGACATTTCTAGCACTCTCCAAAGTTGACGCCAAGTTTCCAAGTTTAATTCAAAGTAACTTAAATTTTCATGGCTCTTTTCCAACTCGGTAACATACTCCTGAAATGAATCATCAATTTTAAGCAAACGATATAGAATTAAAATTTACCTACAATGAAGTTGCAATATCTACTGTGAAATATCTGTGTTCACTTTTCTGTATTTCTTCTAAGCTCATATTGTAGTTCCAAGGTGGTCTTTTAGGAAAATCCAAATTCTTAAAATAATCGTGTTCTTCGATTTCCAAAGCTTTATGATCTCTTATTTCCAGAGCAGCTCTTCCGAATTCTTTTTGCTTCTTTAACTCAGCATCAGACTCTTTGTTGAACTAATACGCATATCTGCTTGTGTTTCTGTTATTTTGAGAAGCGTGGAAATCAATTTTTTGACAATTTGTATCATCCTCGCTTTGGCTTTGTGTTGTTTTCAGTAGAACAGAAGATTTTGAGGCTAAATTGGGTAAAAAATGTTGTTAATGTATTCTAGAATCGAGGGTAAAATATGTTCATATACTTTGGCCTTGTCGTTTCATTTGTAGTTGCAATTATTTAGCTTTGCCGCTAAATGGTACTTTTCTTCTACCTTGAGGCATTTTAAAACGTAATATAATTTGGAAACAATTATATTTAACTCAACGCTTGCTTGCAGTAACACGTAGTAACTAGATTGTTAATACGTATCATTTAATATAAGTCCTGTAAAACTATTTACGAAAAATGTATCTTCTATTATATTATAACATTTTTTAGGTTAGTTATTTGACATATTTTGTACCTATTTGTGTCAAAACTGTTCTCTCATCTGCAACACTTTTTCGCAATAACAACACAAGACACTGACAGTTGACACTGTCATACAAGGGTTTGGAGCACCGGAGTCCATTGCTTGTAAGGTTAGGTACAAATAGAATAAATTAATTAATGTACATGTTATTTAGCATATGTCACGTTTAAATGCATACATAATGTTAGGTATATATACATGTATAATAGAACATGATTTCAAAATTTAATTTCATCTTTAATGTATATGATTTCATACCAAGTACACAATTTTTTTTTTTTTTTCTTATAAATTACAATCTGTCTACATAGATAGACATTGAGTAATTAATTTGACAAATAACATACACAGATTCCCAGAGATTCACTTTATATTAATGTACTAAATTATGACTTAATTAAAATTAGGTATATGTATCCATATAATCACTATAATCTTTCCAAAAGATATTCAAAATCTTTTAAGACTGAATTTATTTGTTTATTTTCTTCAAAAATCCAACTGTATATAAACAATGACAGGTTTTCTGTGATTTTGCCAACACTAGCGCTATCAATTGCCTAATACCAAAAACTATTTATTGATAAGATAAAGATAAATGATTTTATCATTGATAACGATCTATGACAGAAATATAAGATTTGAATTTGAATATATGTAGGTAACGACATAAACATAACGACATAACGAGTATGACGAGTAACGATTTATATTGTTTTGGCGCCTTTTTGCCTCCATAAAAGCTGGCACAAAAACCATGTTAAGTCATTTTGTGTTGGGACCTCGTGGTGATACTACAGTGAATGGTAAGTCATTTATAATAATTAATATTATTCTAAAACTTTTTTCAAGTATTTTCTAAAAAAGGTCATATATTCAATTTCTTGAATATATGATTTATGCATGGTGTTTGCTTGCGTTTTGATTTATTTAATTTTGTTTAATGAATTATAAATAAAAAAATGGAAACCGTTCATTATTTATGTAAATCGATTTATGTTATTTTTTCTATTTCAAAATAATTTTTGCCGAAGAGTTTCTGTAATGGTTTTGAAATAACTCTTTGGACAAAATTATATTAAAATATTGAAAATAATGTAAATTCAGTAATATAAATAAAAATTGGTTTTCAAACTTTTTATTAATTATAATTCAATAAAAATAAATCAAATCAAAGCGCAAGTACATATATACAGATATATGTATGTACATATGTATCTAATGTATATTGTATATATTTTATACAATATACAAAATTTTAAACAATATAAATAATTCCAACTGTAGAATTTAGGTATGATTTTATGATATAAAATTCAATTTTTTATATTTTATTTGAATATACATTTTAATTTAAATATTGAATTATTAAATGAAAAATAGAAATAAGAACATATGAAATATATACTGCATATGTTCTTATTTCTATTTTCCATTTAATAATTCAATATTTAAATTAAAATGTATATTCAAATAAATTTAATAATTATTTAATAATTAAATTTAATTTAAAAGGTATTTAATAAAATTATACATATATATGTATAATTTTAATAAATACCTGTATAAATTTTATTAAATTTTATAACATTAAACTATGAGTATTGTATAATAATTGTACAAAATAATTTTAATTGAAAATGGCTGATATATTTGACTACAAAGTCAACAATAATAATGAAAAAAAGATTAGAATTAGAAAACTATTACAACATTAAAATTTATATCTGAACTTATGTTGGAATTATTTGCAATTGACTTTTTATAATTATTTAATGTAGTTGTTTAATTAATTTTTAATGTAGTTCGTTTCTTTTCAGATTTTATACAGTGCCAATAGTGTTATGTGCAGTAGTGAATAATAACTTCGGAGGCTTATTGTGCATTAAACTTTTTTTAATATTAATTGTAACTTAGTTTATTTGATATAGTGTTAAAAGTAATTTTTTATTTACCATTTTGCGTTATTTCGAGTACATGGTCCACACTTTTTTTTTTTTTTTTAATTTTCGAAAAACGAACGAATCGATTATGATGAAAATTGCGCGTTTGAAGCTACGTTCCTGCCGCCTACCCCCCACGGCAGGTCCAAGTAGTCGGGTTTCACATTTAAATTTAATTTATTAATTAATTTTTGTTTTATATCCTTGAGTGTATGGGCCCCTGCGTTGTTTTCCCAGAAGCACCGCAACCCCATGCACATAATTTAACAATTAATATTATTTGTTTGCAATTATTATTAAATTTAATTTTTTAATTATTTCGCTAAGTGGCCCATGGAAAAAAATAATTTTTTTTTAGATTTATAAAATTCTATTATAATGTTTTCAACTTACTTTGATTACTTTTCGTGTCGTAATGTAATGAACACAATTTCAAGAATTAACTTTTCTTTTACTGGTCGCACAATGAGTCTCCTGGTGGAAGATGCTGAATTTATAAGTGGTTGAACTTGGCAATTTTCAGGACATGGTAAGAAACTCTGAGCTATGTACAAATCTTTTTAATATTGATAGAATTAAATAAAATTTTAATTTTAGGTTGAACACAGAAGTTACCAGAGGAATAGATCCTAAAACACTATTACTAAAACGGAAGAATGTTTACCAGGACGTTAGTGATTACCAGTGTACAAGGATAGAATGGACTACTTTGCAACCAGGAGCGCACAAGACCAGAAGAACGTTTGTTATATTCAGATAAGTTTGTTACTTACTAAGATAGATCACTTTGCTAAGTAGGATGGACCACTTTACCACCACCAGGAGCACACGACCAGGAGAACGTTATGTTGATAAGTATCTTACTTGCTAAGATAGATCATAAGATATTAGTTTTTTGCGATCATTTTCTATATTATTTTGTTATATTAAGATATGTATCTTACTTGCATGCGACGATAGATCATAAGATATTAGTTTTTTTGCGATCATTTTCTATATTATTATTATATTATATACTATATTATTATTTTATCGGGGCCCCATTTACGTTTTCATTCTTTATATTTGATTCGTGGACGGATTTATATACATATTATAAATAAGATATATTTTGGGCAAAATCGTGTTAAATACAGTGCCAGACAGTGTTGTGTACAATGATATATCGTGATATATACAGTGCAAAACCTTAATATTTACAAATCAAGATCAAGATATAATTCAAGATCAAGATACATACAGTGAAACATCAACATCAAGATCCATACGAGATGAAGATACATACAAGATTAGAACCAACCAGAAAATTGACTACAAAATTGGAGGACGTACACATGGATATATTATTAAGTTAAAATTAGGTTAGAATACATTAGGCTGGTAGTTTACTATTTTTTATTTTAAAAATGGGTGGGGAAGACGGCAAGGACCTTCCAGTTTGCATAGATTTCGCGTTTTTTTACAATTATTTAAAATTAATTCATATAACAATACTTAATACACAATTTTATGACCTTTATAAATGCACTCCTCTATAAGCTTCATAGTGCTGGGAACCTATGAAGTTAAAGTATTTACATGGTGGATCTTAGGGGGGTACATCATGTAAATACTTTTTTTTTTTTTTTTTTTTTCTCTTCATTACAAAATTACCTTTAATTACAAAAGTACATTACAATTTTACCTTTAATTTCTAGCAGGTTCTTGCATCGTCTACGGTTTTTTCCTAAAGAAGATCTTCATATACATTTAATCATCTCGCGGGGTATTTTTCATGTTACATTTGGGTCATTTAAGTTAGGCTTAAATTAGGTTTAGTTAATTAATTTAAGTTATTTTGTAAGTGGACTAGGGCTGTACTCAATTTGTACGGCGACACCACATTAAAAAAAGCGCGCCTGGCAACTATACCTCCTGGGTGGTGTGGAAAATAGTTGCATCTTAGCTATAAGTATAATGATTATCAATTTAATTATTTTATTAATTATATTTAATTAATATATAAATGTGTAATGAAAAATGTAAAATACGCTGATGTTAAATGTCCAAATATTCAATATAATAAAACTTTTAAAATAATCTTTGTTTTTCAATCTGAAAATGTCCAATTTTAAGAACGTCTATATTACGTTTTGAACAAGTGTATGGTTTGGATAATAATATTATCATATTATTATGGATCATAATATTATGTTCAATTGTATTTTTGTTCCATCATTTTTTTTTATTTTGAATTTTTATGTTACTAATATAGAACTGACCTGATTTTTAGTACTTGTAACATATGTTACTATTAGTAATAGGAATATTGTAATTGGACATAACATTATAATCCATAATAATATGATAATATTATTGATTTTGCAATATTTTGTCATAAAATATTGGTTCGATACCATAACAATATCAGTATCCCAATTATTTAAATTGAAACTTATTCAAAAGTTAGTTTAATAATTTGCTTGCTTTCTTGTACTGAGATTAGTCCTAAGAAAAAGTATTTGCCATAGTAATCGGTATTATTATTTTTGGCATTTTGGCCAGTATTTCCGAAACAGTTGGACCTGTCTTGGCCAATAACTAATCAGCACGTCTCGCTATCAATAGAAATCGAATTATTCAAATAAAATTTAATTTTAATAAGTTTAATAGATGAAACTTAATAATTTTCAAAAAATTTCGACATATAAAAAAAATTTTCTTTGAATTCAATTTTTATCATTTTTCAAAAAATTTTAAAGCTTTTTATAAAATGTAATTTTCAGTACGGAAAGTTTCAGTAACTTGCCGTAAGACACATAATTAATTTTTTTCGGCGCTATGAGCTTGGAAGTGCACAAATTCGTCATCTTAAGAGGTCTCGAGATCTGAAGAACATATTTTTCTTAAAGTTTCAACTCACTTACGAATCTTTATATTAGACAAATTGCCAAATTTTGCATTGCATTTGCATAATGTTTTGTTAATTATATTTCTTGAAATTAAAAATGTTATTAAAAAAGTGAGTTAATTATAATTTTCTTCTCACTATCCAAATTTTGCCGCCCCCGAAAATTTGCCGCCCTGGGCAGTAGCCCCGACTGCCCCTACTGTAAATCCAGCACTGTATATACTACACATTCTTTAATAATTTATTTA